AAATACTATCTAGCTAAAGCCAGAGCTTCATTTAAAGTTGGTCCTTAATATGTTGGGTTATGTAAATATGTTCTATATAAGGGTCCAAGATTCCTTCGTCAAGTGCCTTTCAAAAATGCCGTTTACATCAGGTTGTCCGTTGGACCGTTTACACCTTTTGCACATCGGCTTTCGTATTCCTCTATTTAAACGATTTACTCACCGGTGTGAAATGAGGGCAATCAACTGCGTTGGGCAAACAACTCTCGCTGGGAGTAGCAGCTCGTGGCTAAATGCTGTGCAATTATTGACTTCCGTTTTCGAACGCTGCGGGAATGCTGGGTGGCAGCGTCAACTGCCTCATGCGCTGCTTCCTGTCCTTCCTCTTTGGCACTTGAAATGTAATTTAATTTGTTTATATGCTCGCCCCGGCCCCAAATGGTCGCGCTTTGTGACAGCCGCCGTATTTGTGTGTAAATTAATTGTGCTCCTGGCGCAGAGCAGGTGCCACGAGTCGCCGCAACTGAATCTTGAGCGGAAGCGCCGAAATACTCCAGTATCCTCCTGTCTGCTGATATTCTGTCCTTAGGGCATGTCAAAAAAGATGTCCAAAAATAACAGAAGCGACAATTCCTTTAATTAATGTGTTTGTTTAGCTTTTGTGCTCACAAAATTTGTTACCTGTGATTACCTGCGATGGATGTGAGACAACATTTTAATTGAATTAAATTTCCATTAGAAGCAGCAACAATTGCACTACAGCCGAAACAACAATTAAATTGGAAATCAACACCAATTTAGGGCCAAGTTTGTGGGGGGAGTTTCCTGAATGCTTTGTGGAATTTACATAGATATTAGTTATTCCCAGAGTATGAGCTCTAATTATGCTCCTGCCTTTGGTTTTTATTCGCAGGCGTGAGAATGAGGCGTCGACTTCTGCGGGCGGAAATGGAGCAGGATATGGAACAAGAACTGAAAGTGGAATTGGAACTGGAACTGGAATTGTGTACCAAGTCAACCGCATCGCTCTTTAATTAGATTGCTGCCAACACCATGGCCATGGCCATGGCCGTGGGCAGTGCTGAGCCTCCACAGCTGGCGGCGCCGGAAGCGAATGCCGCTGGGCCTGGCATTGTGGAGCCAGTGCTGGCGCTGCTGCGCAGCGATGTGGTCAATCAGACGCGTGCGCCGGTCTTCTACAACAGCTACAACATCTCCGAGGATGTCTTCTACTACTTCAACGGCTTCAATCCGGCGCCAGCCAGCACGGAGTCAACGTTGAGCACGAACAGCACGAGCGGAGCGACAGCCGAGCCCACACTGGAGCCGGATCTGGCTGACTTCCTGGAGGCGCTGCCCAACGATCGAGTCGGGCTGCTGGCCTTTCTCTTCCTCTTCTCGTTTGCGACCGTCTTCGGCAACTCCCTGGTCATCCTGGCTGTCATCAGAGAGAGGTACCTGCACACGGCCACCAACTACTTCATCACGAGCCTGGCGGTGGCCGACTGCCTGGTGGGTCTGGTGGTGATGCCATTCTCGGCGCTGTACGAGGTGCTGGAGAACACGTGGTTCTTTGGCACTGACTGGTGCGACATCTGGCGCTCCCTGGACGTGCTCTTCAGCACGGCGTCGATACTGAACCTGTGCGTCATCTCCTTGGATCGCTACTGGGCCATTACGGATCCCTTCAGCTACCCCATGCGGATGACGGTGAAGCGTGCCGCTGGCCTGATTGCCGCTGTCTGGATTTGCTCGAGCGCCATCAGCTTTCCTGCCATTGTCTGGTGGCGGGCCGCTAGGGATGGCGAGATGCCCGCCTACAAGTGCACCTTTACCGAGCACCTGGGCTATCTGGTGTTCTCTTCCACCATATCCTTCTACCTGCCACTGCTGGTGATGGTGTTCACCTACTGTCGCATCTACCGCGCGGCCGTCATCCAGACGCGCTCCCTTAAGATCGGCACCAAGCAGGTATTGATGGCCTCTGGCGAACTGCAGCTGACGCTGCGCATTCATCGTGGCGGCACCACCCGAGATCCGGCGCCCAACACACATCAAGTCTCGAGTGGTGGCGGTGGCGGTGGCGGTGGTGGCGGCGGCTCCCTCAGCCACTCGCACTCGCACCATCATCACAACCACAGCGGCGGCACAACGACATCCACGCCCGAGGAGCCGGACGACGAGCCGCTATCAGCGCTGCACAACAACGGGCTGGCTAGACATCGACACATGGGCAAGAACTTCTCGCTCTCGCGCAAGCTGGCCAAGTTTGCCAAGGAGAAGAAGGCGGCCAAGACGCTGGGCATTGTGATGGGCGTGTTCATTGTGTGCTGGCTGCCGTTCTTTGTGGTGAATCTGTTGTCCGGCTTCTGCATCGAGTGCATCGAGCACGAGGAGATTGTCTCGGCGATTGTGACATGGCTGGGCTGGATCAACTCCTGCATGAATCCTGTGATCTACGCCTGCTGGAGCAGAGACTTTCGCAGGTATGCAGTCCCCACACCCCCAGCCCCGCTGCCACTAAGCAATCCTAATCTTTTTTGGCTTCCTTGCAGAGCTTTTGTGCGACTCCTGTGCATGTGCTGCCCCCGCAAGATACGCCGCAAATATCAGCCCACAATGCGCTCCAAGTCACAGGTAAGTGTTTGTCCAGTTCTGGGACTCTTTTGTGCTCAGCAGCAGGGCAGGGCCCCTGTCGGGCCACCTCATGCCAGCTCCCCCTGGCTCCAACTCGATTTCATTGGAACTCTTATTGACAGAGATATTTTCAATTTCATCATCGCATTTCGTGTCCTGCTGGGGCTGTTTATGAATTATGCACCTGATGACAGCGTTTCTTACTTTTCCTACCTACTTGCGTATGCTCCAAATACGAAACTCAGCGAACGACAAAATTAATTTGCAAATTTAATGAATATGATAGGAAGATAAAAAATAAATAAATAAATGAAATAAAACGCAGCAGGTTTTAACCTTGCTCTGTACCTTCCTTCCGCGTTCACTTCCCCCGCGCTACCGCCCTCGTCACACCCATATCTGTTTTCCGTCTGGCGCTTGCCATTAGCATTCACACACGCCTGCCAGATAGGACAGCTCACTCAGAGTTTTTGGAGCAGCCCCACATCCCCATAATTCAGCATAAATAAACAGCTCGGCGCATCTGTCAACGTCATCGGCAACTGCGCCCGCTCCGTCCCACGCCCCACGCCCCACACACCACTCATCACGCTCTTGAGCTGGAGCACGTTGGCATTTTAATGAATAATTTTTTAATGTCTATCTGAGTTGTGCTCAAATTGGGTCAACATCAGCCAAATCCCGACTGCAGTCGCTGGCTCTGGTTCCCCTTATTGAATGATGGCAATCGCCACGGCGGAATGTTCAAGCTTTTCAAATTATTTTCCCCTGCAGCAGGTGATTGGCATAAAGTTGATTTAACTAAAGCAAACCTGAAATTTGATATAACTGTAGATTAGCACGAGTCGTTCAGGATCTGCATCTCTGTTTGCCACATTTGCAGCATTTAAGCAATTGACTTTTTACTCTCAAATTGATCAATAAGTTAAATTTAAAAACAAAAATTGTTTTCTGTTTTATTCATTTATTTTTGTAGAGTTTTATTTTTTATTTTTTAGATATATTTTTCAATTTGTAGTTGCAAATATTTTTGCACAATATATATCCTTTTTCCTTTTTCTCACATACAAATTTGAGCAACATTCAATGTGTGCAATCATTTGAAGCATTCATTGCCTTGTTCACATTAGGGAATGCAGGCGTTCTGGCAGCACCCCCCCAATCAGGGTGGGGTGGGGGGTGCACTCATCAATGCAGCTGCTGATTCTGATTCTGCTGGTGTTTTTACAGAGATTCGCGACTCGGCGCTGCTACTCGACCTGCTCGCTGCACGGCATTCAGCACGTGCGCCACAATTCCTGCGAGCAGACTTATATTTAGTTTAGCATAGATTGGCAGCTCGCTCGCCTCCATTGAGGAGCTGTCCCAAAACTAATTCTGCTTGCCAGTCGATGAAGGCAAGGTAAGCTTGGTGACTTGTCTAACTTCTATTTGTTGTTTTCGTGTTCGTGTTCGTGTTCGTCCCGTGGCCCTGTGCAAGGGGCTGGCTTCCTGCTAAACGCACACATATCAACGGCATCTGTGGTGAGAGAATACACATTGCACCTTTTTGCCCTGCGCCGCACTCCCCACCCCAAACGCCTCTCTGTTTCTCCGCTCTCTCACTCTATGCAGCTCTCTTTCGCTATCTCTGTCTATTTGTCTCTTTAATGCTCTCTTTGTCACTTGTAAATGTTTCACTCGCTGTTGCGCCTGTTGTGTTCGTTAGCTCGCCTGTGACATTGTTCTGTGTGTTCCAATTTTGTTTTTTGTTTTTTTTTCGTTGTCATGTGAAGAGGGACGACAAGGGAAATGAAAACACACACAAAATGAACTGTGATTCCACGTGTTGAATGTACTGCACCTGAGCCCACGATCTCAAGCACACACACACACATACACATGCTGTGTAGCCGCACCTCACACGCCCCCCACCCCGCACCCACTTTATGCGGAAGACATCCGAGTTGTGTCCAGTCCTTACCTCCGGCTTAAAGTCTCTGTTCGAACAATTCCCATTGCTGTTGTTGTTGTTGTTGTTGTTATTAAATTAACTGCGCAACAAAGTTGAGCTGTTGCCAGCTCTTGATGGTATATTTAATACAGCCCGCAGCTGAAACATCTAATCAACGCGTCAGACACCTGGCTGGGCTGGACAAGCTGAGCAATGCATTATTAAGTATACGCAGTGTTCGCAGCTGCTTCTGGAGGGTTCAGGAGATATTAAACTGAAATCTCTCTGACTGTGTTGATGTCCTTGTTGCCATTGCTGTTGCTGTTGCTGTAGTTGTTGTTGTTAATATTGCTTTTACCAGCCATTCACCACAAATCTACATAAAAAGTAATACGTATACACACACACACCAACTCTACCCACAGTTTATATTGTTGTTTTCCGATTTAAACTCAAGTTACAATCTCTCTCTTTCTCGCTCTCCCCTTTTGTCCGTCTCTCTCCCTCTCGCACTCACTGTAAGTATAAGTATATACATGTTGTTTTTGTGTGTTTACTTTGAAATTTTTTACTTGGCATTGTTGTTGTTATTGTTGCCACTTTTACTTGTTGGCCTTTCGACTTGGCTCTTGTGCCACACACCAACCAAGCACCACACCGCCACCCACACATACACACACACATTGTCTGGCCATATTTGGAAATCAACTCGCACAGCACAACATCCGACATTTCGGAAATGCTATCAAGCTAACCATAAATACTTTTAGCACTTTAAATTTCCAAACCAATTTTCAACAATCATCAAGCACACAGACACACACCTATACACACACTCATCCAATACATATACATATGCACAAAATGTTTTATATAATATAATGATGAAAATGTTATTTACAGCTCTCACAAAAGCAACTATACGAATGCCCGTTGGGAGCAAAGTCTCAGTGTCTCATTGTTTCCATTTGGGGCGTGGGCCATCGGGTGGCTAACATGATATCAATTACATCGAAAACCAATTCCCTTTACTTTTGGCCAATTGCATTTGTATTGTTGCGAGCGTATTGTTGAAAAGGGTCATGAGAGTGCCTGCCAGCTGAGTTTTTGGGGTCGAGGCACTCAAAAAGTAGCGAAAGGAAGTAGAAAGGCATCGAATTCGGCCTGCTTTTGATATCTTTATAAAAAACACAGTCCCGCACAATCCCGTTTCTTTGAGTTAGGAGCATGCTCTTTAATCTGCTGATCTGCAGAATTAAGGTTAGCTCTGCAAACAATCGATAGCTGTAAATAAAACTTAAATGGCTTACAAATTCCTTTTGGCCCAAGAAATATTACCCCAAAGACATTAGCATTAGATAAGCGCAGGTGTGTTACCTTTAAAGCATGCTGAACTTTCAGATAAGACTGGGCTGCCATAAAATGTAGCACACATTTAAGGGCATGGGCAATAATAAAATACGGTTATTGCCTCGAGGCATAAGTGTGCTTCTGCATATGAATTATTTGATGGCAAATACAAAGAGTCTTGCCCAAAAGAGAAGCCTTTGTTCGCTTGCAACAAGTGAAGTCGCTTGAAGCGGATGCGTTTGCTGCAGTTAATTAACTGTTACAAACTTTCGCCTGCCTAAAATTATATTGCATTTATGTCAATTTGCCAAGCTCACAATGAAAAATTCAATTAGAAAAATTATCGTTCAAATGTCAAATGCAGAAATGCAATATGAATTATTGCATAAATTTATACACAGACAGCAATTATAGATAGCAATTATTTAAAAATAAATAAATAAAAATGTTTTTCAATATGAGTATATTGCCTTACAGCGTGTATTGCGATGCTAGACACTCTAACTGAACATTGCTCAGCTTCCGGTAATGGCTGAAATTAGCGGTAAATGAGTTAACTTCCGTTGACCATTTGCCAAACAGACGATAAATGAAGATGGCTTCCATTAGGCAGTGAGGGTGCCTTATATATACGCTTAAGTGTGTGTGTGCGTGTGTGTGTGTCTCTTAGCTGATTTTGTTCAGTTTGCCTGATTCGCAGGGCTTGATTCGTCGTCCGCTGTGCAGCTCGGTAGCCTGAACAGCGTTATTTCCTGCTTAAGCCCTCTGTTGTCTCTCGTTCGTTGTTCTTGCACTATATGTAACATCAAGCCCATTGCGGCTAACCACAAGCTGTGTGCGTATCCATGCGGTGTGTGTGGGTGTGTGTGTGTGGGTGTGTGTGTGTGTCTCCTGAAAATTAACTTCATTGACAGTTTCTACTGTTTGAGTGCTGTTTTGTCTGTTGTTAGACTTGTTCTCTGACTTGTTGCCACACACCTACGGAAAAGCACACAAACACACACACACACACACCCACATACACATAAACACGTACACATACACGCCTCTGATTGGGTTTCAGCTTGAGGGCATGCTGTGCGCTCGTTACACTCTGAGAAAATACTGAGTGTATTTGACGATATCGTATAATAAGCCTTGATGGAAGAACCCTTGGCTGATACGAGATGGCCAAATTGGTAGCCTTTACTGTTCTATCTACTTTCAGCTGTCCACAATTCTTGCGTATAAATATATATTATGTAACTCTATATACATTTGAAACAATCTGTAAAAGGGGTTCGATTGTTAAGGTAAATAAATTACAGTGTGCTGGCCATTTTGGTCGAACGAATCAGGTAGCACCCAAATTGGCCAATGAATTTGCATAGGCTTACCATGGAATGGCCACATGATTGTGCGTAGGCACACAAACAAAACGCTCRCATGTCTAACATACATCACACACACACACACACACACACACACACACACACACACACACACACACACACACACGCACATACACACAACATTGCTTTGAACTTGGAAACGTCGTCCAATTGCACAAATAATATGTATGTATTTGTAATTCTAAATGCTTGCAGAAGAACTCTTTGGCCAGCCTGAGACGGTGCCCAACAACGGAGYTGCTACGCTTTGGCGCCTTCGAGTAGAGGCGGAGCCCCGTCGATCTACGCTCGTCCTTGTGGCAGGCAATTAACATGTACTCACCGTTATACGCATTCCWCTAAGCGCTGCTAATTGCATTAATTATTGACAGGCGCTTTCCGCCRTTTACATATGCGAGCCGGCCCAATAGTAGACTAAGCCAAATAATTATTMAAACAATCAATCAAATAAATTCGTGACCGCTTCACGGAATGACGGTTAAATTAAAGCGATTTCGTGCTTGCTGACACTTTTTGTCGCCAGTTAGTGGAAAACCATTTTGTTTATTTCATTTTACTTTGTTTTTGTTTTTTTTTTTTTTTTTTTTTTTTTTTTTTTTTTTTTTTTTTTTTTTTTTGGCATTTTGTTCGCATTTTTTGGTGGTTTTGTTTCGGTCCCCTTACAAGGCAGGACATCAAAATGTAATTTACCACAAATGTTGCAAAAACATCAATTATCCCTAATGGACTGTGAACGTGAAATTAACGTTTATAATTATGTGACAGAGTCGCCAAAAAGCGGCCGCAACCGCGTCGCTTGTCGGTGGGTAACAGGGTAACCGAAAAACTCTTGGCCTACTCCCGGCCGAATACCCTGCACAGCATAGGTGACCAGATTGAAGTAGAGTTTTGCAAATTATTACTACTTGGGTATAAATATATAATTTGTTCTATTTGTAATTATGATTTCATTATTATCGTGAAAGTACGATATTTACAGGATAGCTCCAGGGTCAATATACCCTTCATTGTGTCTGGGTGTCCGAAACTGTGTCACTTTCTGGTATTTTCTGCCCGAATAACTGGCAGCTTGATCCTGGGCCGCATTCTGTCTGTTGCCGAACAGCGTATAAAGTAATAAATTACAAGAAAAGGGCGTGGCTGTGACTAATTTCAGCGCGAAAAAGAAAATCATTTTTAGGGCCTCCAGAAAGTTGAACGACCTTTAACCCAGGCCACACCCATAGCTGAGAGCTAGGCACGCCCTTCAGATAGCGCGATAATTCTGCTCATGGCAATAAACTGAAAATGAAGCAAAGAGCGAAAATTCGCGTGCCTATTGTATAATTTGTAATTGCTTCATAGCAAGATTTCGATGCTTTAATCAAAATGCTGTTAATATTTGAGCAAATGGGCAAAAAGTTCAGTTGAAGTCGTATCGAAGGTCCTTTGTTGCATGGTCCTGCCACGCATTGCGTATGCGTAATCAAAGCTGTTCACAATACGCCGCAGCTGAGAAAGGGCCATAATTGCTCGTAATTGCATCGAAAATCAATTTGATTTTGAAATAATAGCCGTATGCAAAGCGTTTCCAAGGAATAAACCAACACCACAACACAAAAGCCACTCAATTTGCTGCGCCTCACACTCACTCCACAACAGGCACGCCCACCTAACCAACCACACGACTTATTTGTCTCTGAGATTGCCTGGCCATTGTGCCAGCTCATCGAGGATGACGATGGTCACTCAACACGATTATGACCACCTTTTGTTCCCTTATAAATGCAAATTGAAAATAAAATATAAATGAATAATATTCTGTACACTCAGACTTGATCAAAAAAAACTGAGCATTTACATATAAATATATATAAATATGCCTAGTTTTCACTTTGTGTGGGCTTTAATCAAGGCTGGGTGTACTGAAGAGGCCAGCACAATTGAAGCTGCTAATCAGAGTGTGGCAAAGCCCAGGGCGTAATCAAGTCTGTTTAATACAACACGGATATTGCAAAGCACCACAACAGCAGTTATTGCACCACAGGCCATCTCAAAGCGGAATCAAGCTGTTGCAAGGCAGAAAGAACACACACACACAAGCCACAATAATTTGGTGGCACTCACACTAAACAGAAACACTAACCGCATGGCCTCTTCACCAGGCTACATTGTCTATTTAAGATAATAATGATCATTATATGAAAATGGACTTTGGCTTTTGTTTGTAGACAAAAAGTGCAAATGAAATTCTTCAAATTTACCATTCGGCTCCATTTGAGGCAGCTGAGGCTGTAACACGTTGCGTATGCGTAATCAAAGTAGTTTACAACAAAACGGATATTAGAAAGTGCCGCAATTGCTCCTGTAATTGCATTGCAAGGACCCTTCAAACAAGAAGAGATTGTGTGCAACGCTTAGAGAATAGACAAAGGCCACACAGTTAGGACGTCGGCACGGTGGGAATCACACACACACAACACGGACACGTGCAGCACATGTAACCACAGGAGCCGTTTGCTTATGAAATTGAAATTGGGCTCTGGCCGTGGCTCCACACAGGGGCTAAAATGTTGATGTTGCAGTTAATATTCGGAAATTGTGCATCTGTATAGAGCCAGCAGCCAACTGAATACAGAGAACCCTGCGAGCAGCCACAGCTACAACTGTTACTCCTGCTGCTACTCCTGCTGCTGTGGCTGTTGCCAAAAAAAAAAAA